TATTAAATCAAGAACTATTATTTTGGTCTTTTGATCTCATTATTCTCTAGAGGAAAGGCTTTAGGTTAAGAAAGAAAGTTATTGCTATTCTGAGCTCCTCCAAGGGTCAGTCACCTTGGCAACTTCAAACTATGTATCTAAACCTCTACTTCTTCCTGGAGCACAGATGAGATTTCCCAATTCCCCAACTCTGTAGAGGAGGAAGCTAGCATTCCTTAAGGCCACTTGTGCCCTCTGAGACCTGCACATATGATTTTCCACTGTTAAGGCTGATAACACTTCATTCTATTCCCTAGCCACAGAAACATGTCCCAAGATTCGCCTATGGGTTGCTTCTAAAAGTTGAACACAACAAATAACACCTCATCAAGTTGTATACTTGAAATATGTGCAGTTTACTGTATGTCACTTATAACTCAAAAAAGTTATTTTAAAAAAATGAGGATCCTTGACAACAAGACCACCCTAATTCTGCTCAAAGTAAGCCAAAGGAATAATCCCAAGCAGGTGAAAATTCATCCAGAAAGTATTCGGGGATTTTCTGTATGTTAAAGATAAATAATTAGTAGAGGCTTCAAAATCTAACCCACAGAATATGGCTACTATTATTTGGTCTGGAAAAATGCTAGACACAACCAAACCCTCACCTAGCCTCATTAAAAAAAAGATCTCACTAAGGTAACACAACAAACCTTTCAGCTTTGAGAAACAGAACTTCCTAAAATAACACTAAGATAAATCAATGATGAAATATATGAAATGTATGCCTAGGTTGTATAAATGAGCAACTAACAACCAATAGTTATTGAGAGTCTACTATGGGCAGATGCTGTACAAGGACCTCAGGAGACCAAGGTAAACCAGAATGAAGACAAGGTGCTGCTGTCAGGAGCTCACTTTCTACTGGGAGCAGGCAGAGTTAGGAGACAGTAACCACATGAACAAATAAATTATTAAAGGAATAATAACAATGGTGATAATAATCACAGCTATCACTTATACAGCTCTTAATAGGTGCTAAGGCACTGCTTGGAAGTATCATTGGAATGAAACCACCCTAGGAAGTGGTTCTATTTTACAAATTAAAGAAGAGGCCCAAAGTCAGTTAGTGGTAGAGTGAAAACTTGATTCCAGTCATCTGGATTCAGGGCACAAGTTTTTCTCCACAATCATACCACCAAATGTGTGAGGTAAAGCAAGCAGATGAAAAGGAACTACTGTAGATAAGGTAGTGAGGAAAAGTTTGTCAGAAGAAGTGACATTTGATCACAGATCTAAAAAACAAGAAACATAGCCCTTAATTCTGATAGTGACTTAAGAGTAAAAATAGTTGTCTATTGGGCATACCTACTTCATGACATCTGCACAAAAGGAATGCTTATTTTTATATTATATCCATGGCAGAGGCACAGGTTGCTACATAATTAAATATTTTGGTTGCTGTTAAAAAAACTGGACAATTGATATTCAAATGAATGACTAGGAACCAACATAAAATGATAAACTTAATACAATTTATAGTTCACCAGAGTCTACAATACACAATGGTTGAAAAACATCCCAAATCCCACATTTAGCAGTTACTTCATTCAAACTTTTTTGCTTGCTAAGAATCATGTCATACTTGTTCAAATGACTGCTAAACTTGAATGAGTCAGCTCTGAATTAAAGACATTGTTAAAGTCTTCCATCCTATCTTACAGAAGACTGGTATTTTTTAACAAATAAAGAAAAAAGCTACTGGTTTCTTTTTTTAAGCTGCATTCAGTCCTTGACAAATATACCCTTTATACATATTCTGGCATGGTGTCTTCAAGAATTCCCCAGATTTCCCTAAGAGACCCCTACCCCTCATGACTTTCCAGCTTGCTCAAGTCTAGGCAGATCCTATTTAAGCAGAATAGAATCCACAACCTCTATGACTCAACCCCAATCTTAGGAGCTTAAACAAAGGCTCCAAGTGATAAATTCAAGGACCTTTATAGGGCCATTTTTTGCCCTACTCATTCCCCTCAACCAGAGGCTCCTTCTCTGTTCAAAACTTGAAGAATTTTGTACTTTAATAAGGGGCCATTTGCTTGCAAGTTGCTATACCATTTTATCACCTTATTCTAATACAGATACAGACTGTAGTACACAGTTATGGGATGTGGAGGGAGAAGAGAAAGGACAACTGAAGACAAAAAGGGAAGGCAAACTATTCGAACAGCATTTCTATTTCTATCTCAATCCTCCCACTCAATTCTCTTTACCGACCTCTAATGCTCAGCTCCTTTCAAATTACCCTACCCTCTAATTCCACAGCTGAACCTCTGACCCCATGGTTCTACTCCAGGTCCACAATCCTATCCTCAGGCCCATCCTGTTTAGAGTTTCTGCCGCAACCAAGTTCCTTGAACATTTCCATTATCAAAGCCAACCAGCTAGGAGTTGAGGGGGAGTTCCAGCCTTTGCTGAGATCAAAGATGTCACTCTGGGACTCAGAATTCAATTGTGAACTCATTTCTCTCATTATATGTGGTGGTGAGATTCTTTTATTTGATCATACTATACTCTGGCATATTCTGGATTACAGACTAATCTGAGCTCCAAACCACTATGCATAAAACACAGCATGTCAGACCCTTCAAAATATGTTATACATGTGATCCTCCCAGAACTTCTTGGGGGGTAACAGTTTTTGGAGCACTGTGGAAAAAGCAAAATCACTTAACAACCATGGAGACTTAAATGTATATTTATAAGAGATAAGAAAATTATTTACAAATGGATTTTTATAACACAGCCTATTTTTATACTGGGGACAGTCTGGACCCTGAAGTGGTTTACAGAGCAAGAGAAAGGCCATTATTCAGGAAAAAGGCTCTGTTTTTGATTCCTTATAACTGGCTTTACCCCATCTAAGATTGTCTTGTAAGACAGTCTATACTTTATTTAAATAGTTGAATTTTGGTAAGTTCCTATTGAACTCTGCCTCCCCTCAATTCCCCTAAAGGCTAAACCAGGTGTTACTAATCCCCAGATGCTCTGCTCCTACCAGAGACTTCAATCTGATGGCCTGACATCAAAGAAATGTTCACAGTCTCTTAGAGATAGATGATTTGTTTACTGTGTCTCAAATGGCAAAATTCTGGTTCAAATGAGAAAAATACTCATTTGAAAGAAAGGAGGCAGAAGAATGAAAAAACCTTCCACTGGGTAGATGTTTATCTTTCCAACTTAAGTTAGAATAAATAATTCTAATGACCCGAGTGACTCACAGTGACTCTGGATTTGCCAGGGGTGGATCTTTTACGCCTATCTGCACAATTCTACACCTGCTCAGTAACAAAAGTATAGCAATCCTTTTTCATGCATCACAAACCAAGTATTGGCATGTAATATTGATAATACCTAACAAGTAAAGACAGGCTTTCATTACTAATCTTGTGCTTACCCATGCTTTTCAGTGTAACTATTCAAATACTTGGAAATGCTTATAATTTTCCATGACCCACAGCTAGAATATATATAAATAATGTACAGAAAGGATTGCCTGAGATGTAAGAATTTTTTTCCTGTTGTTTACTTTCAAAGGAGAAAAAATATTTCAATAAATAGGAACATTTGAAGGGTATGGATAAAATTCAAGGCTCATACATGGTTTGAATTATTTTTCCATGGGTATACAGTAGTCAAACTGATTTTTAATGAAATCTTTGGCAATCTTACTGTCTATGGGAAAAATTGAGTGCTAACTACAATGACACAATTTGTCATTTTAGTTTTCAAAATCATGCCAAAACAAACGCCTCAGATAAAAAGATGAGAAAATAAGTGCTGGTGGTTTTTCCTTCTCATATGCTTCAGATACATGCTTTAATATCTTAAGCAACAGAATTACTTTCAGTTCCCCCAAACAATCGGTGTTCTCTCTTACTTTTTGGCTGTTGCACATTCCAGTCTTCCTGCATGGATGTTCTTCCTGCCATAAAAATGTTCTTCTTCCATTCCTCTTGGTTAACCCTTATTTATCCATCACACAGATATGCGCTAAGAATTCCCATCTTCCAGAATCCTTCTGTGACCTCAGCTAACCCTTTATGGTTGTTTGGGCTGTGTCTCATTCTTTAAAAATGCCTTCAATTTTCAGCAAGAAATTCTTATAACTAAAGGACATGAATGCTTATGATACATGATGTAGGCCTCTTGTAAACTGTCACATCCTATTTCATTTTTAATTTGTGCTATTCTTTAAATAATAGAACCGTGTTACTTTATAGATACTGTCTATAAAGATTTCACTGAGTCAGGCTGGCCGTAACCTTTCTGGGTAAAGCTGATTAAAAAGGGAGAAGGGACTAAGGTGTTGCTGGGATGACATGGGGGAAGATTCATTCACTTACTTCATGTTTATTAGAGGCCTACTCTGCAAATCACCATTCTGTTTCTGATGACGTGGCAGATAAGGAAAGAAATAGGTACACAGATACACTCACTTCCCACCTCACTCAGAACGTTATCAACCAAAGCTGGCAAACAGAATAGAACACCTGCAAACAATATAGGTACTGACAGGAAGCACACAGTAACATTTAACAAGACACAGGAATGCTTTTGGCAGGGGGATAAGGTAAAGAGTTTCAAGCATTTCATAGTCTTCAGTAACTGTAGGTGGATGGAGGAATTCTTCCTAATCCATCCAGTGATCTGGAACAGGGCATTCCTGATGTTTTGTGTTGTGAAGACGATGATTTCTTCTCCTTCCCCATTTCCTCCTTCTCCTTCCCCATTTCCTCCTTCTCCTTCTAGGTTTTTGTCTTTCTTTTTTTACCCCAGTTTTACTGTGATATAATTGACATATAATACTGTATTCCTTTAAGGTGCACAACCTAAGAATTTGCTGTGTGTACATATTGCAAAATGACTGTTAAGGACTTCGTAATACCCAAATTGCATAATTAAGATTTGTTTACTAAGCTGAATACTAACATGTTTGAATTTTCTACAGATTAACTTACCTCAACATATGAAATTGGAAATATTCCTATTTTGTCTGCCAGCATTCCTTCAGCCCAGTTTTCATCCACTCTGCGGATCACAGTCAGAACATCATCCTGAAGAAACAGCAAACATTAGTCTCTTTGATCCCATTAAGTTCATCACTTAATTTCCCTTTTCAATAAAGGGGCTCAAGTTTCAAGAGTAAATGAATCAAAATGCCATGACCTATCTTTAGTACATGAATCCAATGTTGCCACAAACTAAGTGGCCACTACAACCTGTTGGTTCTTTCAGACCGTTGTAAAACTATAAACTCCTTCTATACAGGGGTTGGCTGCTCATTATGTTAAGATCCACAAATTACAACCTTAAATGCTACTCACCCCAGCCTCTTGAACTTCCGTTTTAGACTGGCTTTCAGGCTCTTCTCACATTCTCTCTGATAATACACCAAATACCCACCTTTAAATGCATATCCTACTGCTTTTCTTTATAAAAAACACTATTGTGTTTATCTACTTAAAATTTTAAAGGATTTTATCAATTCAGTGGATATACTCCTGTGTGCTTTCAGCAAAGAAATTTATGTATAAAATAAGGAAGTAATGATGTTTCATTTTGTTATTCATAATTCAGTAAGCTAAAATCCCTGAGTGGCACACATACCGTATAAAGTGGCTTAGAATTAAATTTAGGCTATAAATATGAAAATGATACCACACAGACTATCAAACAAAATTATCTTTCATATAAGAATGGTCTAGTTTTAGGGGCGCCTGGGTGGCTCAGCCGGTTGAGCATCCTACTTCAGCTCAGGTCATGATCTCACAGTGTGTAAGTTCAAGCCCCGCGTCGGGCTCTGTGCCGACCGCTTGGAGCCTGGAGCCTGGAGCTGGCTTGGCATTCTGTGTCTCCCTCTCTCTCTGCCCCTCCCCCACTCATGCTTCCTCTGTCTCTCTCTCTCTCTCTGTCAGAAATAAATAAACATTAAAAAAATTAAAAAAAAAAAGAATGGTCTAGTTTTTTGTGACTTTAAGAAAACTGCTTCCAGGTATTTTTAAAAGCACAGGTATTTTTAAAAACTATTTTATCTTCTTGTGAAAGGAAATATAAGCCATATTCCTGTGTATCTGGGTCCACAGAAAGAGTTGGCAAACATTCTAAATTTACCTTTGCAAACGGGAGGCAATCTTTGTCTGCTTCCTTGTCTTTCACTTCAAAGTCATAAAGTGCTTTGCACTGAGGTGGGGGCTGAGGTAACGGCTTGATGATCTGCACAAAATTGGTGGGAAAAAAGCCATGGATCCCGTTGACTTCCCCATGGTACCAATTTTCATCCACTTGTCGCCGCAAAATGATGATGTCACCTTTGCTGAATTTAAGGTCTCCAGGCTCTTTCCCTTCGTAGTTGTATAACGCTTTGGCACAAGGTAACTGAGGTATACCCTTAGGGAAAGAGATGAGTTTTAATTAAAGAATGATCCAAAAACGTCTAAAAATTTAACTGTATTATTATTTTAAGTCAAGGTCAACTCAACACAGAGTGCAGGTCTCTGGAGTTTAGCAGGTGGGAAAATGAAACACTTTCTGGAGGAAGTGACACATAAGCCAAGTCTTCAAGGATACATAGGAGTTAGCCAGGCAAAGCTGGAGTAAAAGATAAAAGTAAGGCATTCTCACCAGAAGGCACAGCACCAGCAAAGACATGGAGCACAGTGTGCAGAGGGACTGAGTTTTATAAAGAGTGCAGGAATTATGGAATATAAAGTGTAGGAGAAGTAGAAGCTAACTCATGGAAGATCTAGAATGACATGTTAAAGAGGTTCAATCGCTGTGTCCTTCAGGCAAAGACAAGCCCTCACAGGTTTGAAATACAGATGGCCATGGTAAGAAGCATGTGTCAGTCAGGCAGATGAGGCTGGCATGAGAGTGGAAAATGGACAGGAAGTGGGCAGGTGGACAGATAGCTATGTGTTAAGCACAAGCTTTAACTAGTTGAATTTTTTCTTTTTTTACAGCTTAATCTTTCTAATGAATAGGAAGAAGCATTACTCACAGTACTGCCCTCTCCCTGTGCTCCTCCATCTCCCCGCTCCCCAAAAAAGTGGATCACAGTTTAATACTCTTGAGGCAACAGAACTTCGTAATACACTTTTTAAAAATTACTTTGGTTTCTGGTCAGAGAGTTAGAGTCTGGCTTGCTCCTAAGCTAAATTTCTTTTGTTAAATATTTTTGTTTGGCTTAAGAGGAATAGCCAATTCTTGGCTCTCAAAATGCTATTGGCAGTCATCTTGTGTTGGCTTGATCCATGTGATGTGTTTGGTTAATGAGAGCTGCTCTAGAGGCCAATATCCTGAGAAGACAGGAGCTGAGCCTTCCAGAAGTTCTGAAACCCTCACGTGCCCTCTGACTTTTGGACCCTGACCTAAGATCCTGCCTATGAAGGCATGACTTCTGTTATCTGACCGTGACCTAATCTCATAAATAATTCTGCTGTGCCCCTTGGTTTCTGCAGAAGGAAAATGCCCATCAGGAACTCTAGCGCCTCACAATCCTGTGAACTTTAGTCATATTCCCCTTCAGTGTCGAATGCTAAGGAAGGACTCTAATTTTTGTCTACTCTCACAGAGATGCTTCACTGCATTCTCTACTTTATTGTATATTTATTGAAGTCTGGTTATCAAAATATAACAATATTTCCCAAGGCAGGCTTGAGGAAATATTAGTAAATAAACATAGAAATGAATATTATTATGAAACAGTGAAAGAGTGATGGAGTCAAAGACAGAGAACTGACAAGTCCTGTAATAAACCAACTCTTGGAACACAGCTGTATGGGACCACGATAAGGCAGTTTTACGTAAGGGTTGGAAACATAGACTCCAGAGCCAGAATGTCTACGTTTGAATCCCAGCTCAGCCACTTACTAGCTGTGTGCCTCAATTTCTTCATTTGGGTTGCTGCGAGGATTTGGTGAGTTAATGTATGTAAACCGCTACAAAAGACCCAGCAGTTAGTAACTGCTGTCGCACTCATGAACTATTATCATCATTGTCACTGCCCAGTATGAAAAGCCTTGTTCACCAGTGAAACACAGCACCTGAAAATGTATTTGTCTCTACGCAGCTGGATGCTATTCCTTTTTGGACGAATTCACATAGCAATTACATTTTTAATACATATTCACTGTATAGCAATGCAAAGAATGTTCCTCCAAGGAAGTGCTGGAATCTTGAAATGTGCGTTTCTGAAGCACACATTTGTTTTCTAAGTGGAATCCATTCATCTTCTGGTTGAACAGAAGAAATTACAAATTCACTGACATGCACGGTTTAATAGGGGATGGCATTTTAGATGTGGCTGTAGTTCATCTTGACAGGGCTAATGTAAGGCATTGGAAGCCTGCATGAATTAATTGAAAATCCTATTACAAACTCGGTGACAAATAACTCTATTCACCATTATGGCCTGTTCTCTCGATTTTTTCCCCACCTCAATTAGCTCTGTTTGGCCTACTCTGTCCAAATCCATGCCAGCCAAATCCCTGCACCAAGATACAGATTTAGCACTCTTAGAAACCATTCTGAATTGCTTCTTGAAGAGATCTGTAAAATTCCCAAAAAAACCACAGTATGGTTCTTTTGTGATATGCTCACGTGGAAACTGAAGGAATTTATTTCTTCACAGATCACTTCCACACACCAGTGGCCCAATGGACTTATTAACTTTTCCACCAAAGCAAATCTATTAAGTACCCCTAAAATCATCACACATACTTAATACAATGAATGGTAAGGATAAAACTCATGATAAAAGTGATATCCATTATGGTTAGCCTAGTTACATCCCTGTGACTGCAACCTAAAATTCATTAATTCACACTGTTTTGCTAAATCTTGACTGCTAAGGCTATTTCAGTGATCAATAACCACAGACAAAAGAATCATAAAGCTTACGGCAATCTAATCCACAAGCAGATATTTGCGCATCTGGCTGTGTTTTTCTATGGTGTTCTTTTTCAATTAAATTCTAAGAGGCTAAAAAGCCAGTTTGTGTCAAGTTTCTCAAAAGAAGGTTTCCCACATTAAATAAAATGAATTCTACTCTGATTTCAAATCAAGCAAAGTTCAGTGATCTTTAAAAGACTTATTCCCACACAGACTGCAGATGATTAAGGATAAATGGTTACACGACTTGGAAGGGCAATAAAAGAATGAATTTTCCTTTTGCAACATCTGAAGGATAAAGTCAAAACAATTGGTTTGATAGCCTCAGACTACTCTTGTGGGTAAAATACGTCCGGGGCCCACGGAGGCACTGCCTTCTCATTCATCTCCTTTGAAAGGTCTGGGAGTCATGTCATCACCCAGGCCCTTTGCCCCCCGTGCCTTCGGCAGGCTTTCCAAACTGCTGCCTTTCTTCTGTATCCTCTCATCAGGCCAAGGCCCCCGAGGATCTGTAGAGCTTACATTTCACTTGGCTACACATGAAAGGGAGGCTTAAAAGGAGAGAAAGCCAGAGAGAAACGGACTCTGCAGTCTAACCTTGAGTTTGCAGCTGTCATTCATGCTGCCAGCTTTATCAAAAACCTTGGCAATTTAGACAGGTGAGCTATTATAACGATTCTTAATCTGGAATACATTTCAATAAACAGTGACTATTTTGGTCATATAGAAAGGAATAAATATGACGGTGGACTAGTTTTACTCTTAAAGTAATTTTTGCTTCTACATTATGTATACAGATATTTTACATGACATTAAAATCCTTATGAGACCCACACACAAATATTTTTGATGAAATACTCTACACTCCATTTTTGTATCATCAAGTGTATTCCAATATATCTAGCAAAGCAGTACTTGATGATGTAGCTGAGATTCTAATGGGTAAATAAAACATTCACTGCCAATTTATTTTATAGACTCTAAATGCCAATGCCCAGATATACATGCAAGACAGCCTCTTTAAATTCAAATTCCTTCATGCATTTCTTACTGCTCCATAAAGTAAAAAAGATTCAATGACCTACTAAAAAGAATATCTGGAAGATACTCTTGCCATAGGAACAGCACCATGGTGTACATAATTTAAGAATTTAGTTAAATCTAAATGGGCATGAACTATGGCTGATTTCAACTTGACTTTCAAAAACTTTCCAGAAAGAACTGAAGCATAAAGAAATTACAGTAATAGAAAGTACTACATACAGAGTAACAAGTAGCAAAATGGTTCAGGAAAGGATTTTTTTAAATGTCCTTTGGACAACAAAATACATGTTGGCTTTTCCCTACAAAGTGAAAATCTATCGGAATATACCAATAGTATTTTGCAAAAATATTCTTCAATAGTTAAAAAAGTCTTACGTACTGATATCAAGATGTCTAGGTTGGATTATTATTCAAATATTATTTGACCATCCCTTGAAATGTTTCAACCTCAATATAACAAACATCCAAAATAAGTATTACAAGTTATTTTTCCAAAGCAGTATCAGAAAGGACTAAGAATCCCATAATTCCATAATAATCCATTTCTTTTTTTTTTAAATTTTTTAAATGTTTATTTTTGAGAGAGAGACAAGGTGTGAGTGGGGGAAGGGCAGAGAGAGAGGGAGACACAGAATCTGAAGCAGGCTCCAGGCTCTGAGCTGTCAGCAGAGCGTGATGTGGGGCTCAAATCCACAGACCGCGAGATCATGACCTGAGCCGAAGTCGGACCCTCAACTGACTGAGCCACCCAGGCACCCTACGTTTCTTTTCTTTTTAATGTTTATTTACTTTCTGAGAGAGAGAGAGAAAGAGAGAGAGAGAGAGAGAGAGAGAGAGAGAGAGAGAAGATCCTAAGCAGGCTCCATGCTGACAGCAGAGAGCCCGATGTGGGGCTTGAACTCACAAACCACGAAATCATGACCTGAGCTGAAATCATACACTTAACTGACTGAGCCACCCAGGCACTCCCATAATAGTCCATTTCTCATTTGTTCTTTCCTTTAATATTTATTTCTGGACAGCACTGTGCTGAGACATTTTCTCTGATGATCGCTCTCTTAAGCTACCATCTGCTATCCACCCCACGTTTGTCACATAAAATTTTCTCATCAGACTAATCATATCTACCAGCACTCTGAGGATGGCAGTTGTGAATAGACAGAAATGAAGAAAAACATGTTTTCTTCATTCACATTTATTCGTTTTTTGGTCCTTATTTTACTATTTCACTGCCATCTTTTCTTGCATGCTCATTTTCTTCAGCATTCTCCTTAAGCAGACTCTTTCCAGGTTGCCTATCTTTCTCCTCCACTCCAGACACGGTGCCTCAAGAAAGTGGGCTGAAGCTGGCTTTGCACGGCTTTAGTGCCCTGTGCACTCAGCTCCTGCTCACACTGCATACACTCTATCCACTCCTCCTCACCCTCAGCTTCTACAACCCAACCCATAAGCCC